CCCCCCCACCCCCCAGGCTGCCAGATCATCCACCCGCCGCGGGACGGGGGGATCCGCTACCGGGGGTTGACCCCCGAGGAGGTGCAGAGCGTTCGCTTCCTCCCCTTCGACTACGAGATCGAGTACGTCTGCCGGCCCGACCGCGAGATCGTGGGGCCCAAAGTCCGCAAGTGCCAGCGCGACGGCACCTGGACCGCCATGGGCCACCCCAGCCGCTGCCGTGAGTGTCACCGTCACCATCTCTGGTCCCTGTCAACGTCCCCGTCCCCATCGCTATCCCCATCGCTGTTACTGTCACCATTATGGTCATGATCACCATTAGCATCACCATCCCCGTCACCGTCGCTATTGCCATCACCATCACCATCACCGTCCCATGACCATCCCCATCACTGTCACCATCTCCATCCCCATCAATGTCCCCACCCCCATCGCTATCCCCATTGCTGTTACCGTCACCGTCATGATCACCATTAGCATCACCATCCCCGTCACTGTCGCTATTGCCATCACCGTCACCATCCCGTTACCATCCCCATCACCGTCACCATCCTGATCACCGTTAGCATCGCCGTCGCCGTCACCGTCGCTATTGCCATCACTGTCACCATCACCGTCCCATGCCCACCATTGTCACCATCTCCATCCCCATCAATGTCCCCGTCCCCATCGCTATCCCCATGGCCGTCACCATCACCATCGTGATCACCATTAGCATCGCCATCCCCGTCACCGTCGCTATTGCCATCACCGTCACCACCACCGTCCCGTGACCATCCCCAGCACTGTCACCATCCCCATCAATGTCCCCGACCCCATCACTCTTACCGTCACCATCGTGATCACTGTTAGCATCGCCATCCCCGTCACCGTCGCTATTGCCATCACTGTCACCATCACCATCCCATGCCCACCATTGTCACCATCCCTGTCACCGTCACCATCTCCGTCAACGTCCCCATCCCCATCACTATCCCCATCGCTGTTATTGTCACCATCACCTTTACCATTGTGATCACCATTAGCGCCACCACCGTCACCATCCCCATCCCCATCATCTTCACTGTCACCTTCACCATCACCGTTACCGTCACCATCGTGATCACTGTTAGCATCACCATCACCAATCACTGTCACCGTTACCATCACTGTTAGAATCACCAATCCCCGTCACCATCACCGTTACCGTCACCATCGTGATCACTGTTAGCATCACCATCACCAATCACTGTCACCGTTACCATCACTGTTAGAATCACCAATCCCCGTCACCATCACCGTTACCATCATCATCACCCTTACCGTCACCGTGACCATCACCGTTACCATCGACATACCATCACACTTACTGTTACCATCACCGCTACCATCATCGTCACCGTTACCATCACCTTTACCATGACCATCACCGTGACCATCACTGCTACCATCACCCTTACCATCACCGTGACCATCACCGTTACCATCGACATACCATCACACTTACTGTTACCATCACCGCTACCATCATCGTCACCGTTACCATCACCTTTACCATGACCATCACCGTGACCATCACTGCTACCATCACCCTTACCATCACCGTGACCATCGACATACCATCACACTTACTGTTACCATCACCGCTACCATCATCGTCACCGTTACCATCACCTTTACCATGACCATCACCGTGACCATCACTGCTACCATCACCCTTACCATCACCGTGACCATCGACATACCATCACACTTACTGTTACCACCACCGTTACCATGACCACCACCGCTACCATCACCATCACCATCCCCAACCCCTTCACCATCCCCGTCACCAGCCCTCCCAACCAGCACCCGCTACGTTGGTAGGGGTCACCCTGGCAAGGGTGTGGGGTTGACCCCTCCCACTTTGCACCCACCCACCCAGTGAGGACCTGCCCCAAAATGCACCTGAGCTTGGAGAACGGGCAGGCGGTGGCACGGGCGATGGAGCGGGTGCCGGTGGAGGGGACGTGGACCGAGTACAGCTGCAACCCCGGGTTCCGCCTGGTGGGCAGCACCCGCAGTAACTGCACCAAGCTGGGGCGCTGGAGCACCCCCAAACCCACCTGCGAGCGTGAGTGGGGTCCCCAAAGGGTGGGAGGGGGCGTATGGGGGGGGCTGTG